GGGGGGGGGGAGTAAAAATACTCCGAGTCCCTTCATGCTGTGGAAACTGGAGATAACACCCTAGCTTGATGAGGCACTAGGTTTGAATGCAGACACAATTCTGGCTAGGGGCAGGGAAGTAGATTTTGACGCCAGACTTCTAGATTACAACTGTGGCTCCAAACCCAACTACTATTTCCCTCCTCTTCCCTGCCTTCTAAATACAAATGGTAGCTAACTCCAAGAAAAAGCAAAAATCTATCAACAAGTTGTGAATAACATATTTTAAAATGTCTCTTTACAGGAAAAAAGAAAACCAGCTGCTACATGTATGTACACATAGTTATGAGGCTCTGTTAGGGGTTTTAGGGATATGGGATAACTGACTAAATAATCATATAGGGATAAGGGATAACTGAGATAGCTTTAGGGATAACAAAAAATAGCTTTGCTTTCTCAATTGTCACACGTTTGGTTACTTTTGCCGAGTGTTTGCATCACCGGGGACTGGTAGCAAACAGTAACGGGTCAATAATTTATCAGTCCAAATTCAAGCAAGATGGGACAGATGTCCAAGATTTGCTCAAGGCTCAGCATGACCACTAAGCATTCTGCTGGAACGTTGCCTGTGAATTGTTATGAAACAAAAGTGGGCGATCCAAAGCCGGTTGATTTTACAAGACTTGCACAGACGGTGGAAGAGATTTCTTCTGACCAATCCATCATACCAGAAGTCTTTTGTTTTTTACCTTCACAAATTTTAACTTGTGAAGGTAACATTGTTTGTGTAAGGAAGGGTAGCCAGCCTCCAATACATCCCCTTTCTATCTGGCCAGACCCGACGAGAGCTTGTATGCTGTTGAGAACCCCGCTGTGAAAGCTACTTATAGTGCACAAGATCCTCTATTGCCCTTTCAATTTGTCAAAACAAATGCAACTGGTCAACTCAAGACAACCAGTATTTTGAGCTCTGTTGCAAATTATAAGTTAGAAAGAAGACAATACAACTGTTCCTGACCAGGATGTTTACTACTGTCTTCTAGTGGAGTCCCTCGACAGTGGTGACACTAGGACTATGGAGGAAGAAGGAGCAAAGGACAATGAGATTCAATCAGAGGATGACACTCCACAAGTTTCAACTAGAACAGGAAGGCGATCAGCTAGAAACAAATATTCCAACTTTGTCTTCTACTAATGGTCACTGACATCATAGTTAGTGGAGGGTTCCCTCCACTATCTATGCTGACATTCAGTACAAACGCGAAAGCCAGTTACCACACTATAAAATTGCCACCTACTGTCAAATTCCAAAGATCAGTAATTTTGGGGATAACAGTCTCGGTAATTTAAATTTAATCTAACATCGGGGGCAGCTTATAGTGTCAACATCTTGTACATCACAAAGTGATGAAAGAATACAGATGCAGCTATAGTCACTCCATTGTTTATGGTCTACCGCCCCCTTGAAATGATTGGCATGAGAGAATGAGAGAGAACAAAACAATTCAATTTATTGGCACGAAAAAATGTCTCAATTAACCAATTTACAAACGACAAAACAGATGAGATGTGAACATCCCCAGAAATTTGGCTAAATTGAAATAATCTGGTGCCAGAACGAACAAAGGAGGTATAAACCTAATCATTGAGCTAAGGCCTGTCACCCCAATTAAACACATTTTGTTTTTCCTCGCGTCTGATGTCATCTGGCTGAAAGTAACCAATCAGCAAAAACCGTTTGGTTGGAAGAGCATAAACAATGGTGTGACTACAGGCGGATATTTTTTCGACTCGCGCTCCGCGCTCGTGTTTCGCACTTCGCGGTCTGTTCCGCTAATCCGCCTGTTCAGCGGGCTATTAAAAATCTTGGTTCTCTTTCGATCCCAGATAAGCGGCTTTATTTAAAAATATCAAGCTTACCTCGGAACAATCCAAGCATTACATATAAAGCCCCCAGTTACGAACCTTTTTTCTAAGAGCATGGTGATAAGAGGTTCATATCATTTCAAGTAACCACATAAGCTTACAATGTACATACCCAGGAGATTTGCTACAACAAACCACAATATGGTTGATATATAGAGCCATTCCCTGAATGTTCTAGACGCCCTTAAAATTTTACCTGATTCACTTGAAAATAAACTTGTAGGCTGGGCTGTTAGCCTTGTTGAAATCCTCGCTGATGCAACTTGATTTCTCCACAGACCTCGCACACATCTCGCTGTCGTCGCTGCCGCCATTTTGCTTCCTTATGAGCCCGCAGTCTTTACAGAGTGATTTTATCGTTCTTTACCAGGGAGGGGAAGGGAGAATGTGTCAAGGCGAAAAATTGAAAGGTTTTCGTATTTTTCAAAGATTGACTAATTAACACTTACATGTAAGCACATCGAAAGAAAATTACATAAGGTAATGACAATCAGTTAACTCAACATAAAAAATTACACTACGATCTTACAAATTCTCGCATAACAAAACGTGCACTGTCACGACCCCTCAAAGAAGGGAAGCAACACACATGGTCAAAACAACATGGCAGACGAAACGACTGAATTTCATCTAAGTTGTGTTTACTGTGAAGCAAAAGATTTTAACACTGGTAGATGCCGAATTGCACCAAGGATAATTGAAACAATTGGCGGAAAGATCAATTCGCCGGTTCGACTGACAGTTGACTCTGGATTTGTATTTTGTTCCTTGTGGCCAAGAACTAATGGAAACGACAATGTTATTCAATATGATTCGCTTGTCACCCTTCCGAACAACGCGAATACGTGCAAGATGAACAATACTTGTTACAAGAAGAACATATCAGAAAAGAATATTGTTATCGTTGAGCCTGTGGATGCAAAAACCGTTGTTGTGTCTCTATTTTTTCGCAAAGGAGCTGAAGATTTTGATCACAACTTGACTGAAGTTGCACGAGAAATGAAGAGAGAAAGAGTTTCTGGCTATTTATTAAGAGGCTGTATCATTATGCAGGGATGTGTTATTCAGCCGAAGGAGCTTAGAAACAATCACAGTTCATCTAAAAGAATCGCAAAGATTTTGATACTCTCCACAGAACCCTCGACCCAGTACCTAGAGGATAACCCAGTGAAGGTCACTGATAAAACAAAAATTATTGTTCAGTCAGTCAGCAGGGAATGTGAGCTTGAAAACAAGAACAATGAGGTCCTAGCAGGTCTTGATGATACAGTGAGGGAACTTCAAGAAGTGTTAAGCTATCCTTTTCAGTATCCAAAGTGCTTTGGTCATTTAGGACTTGAGTGCCCCAAGGGAATTTTACTGCAAGGAGCTCCAGGGGTTGGGAAGACTCTCCTTGTTAAGAGTGTAACTTCACAGTGCAGAGCACAGTTAATAACACTGAATGGCACAGATGTGTTTGGGCCACATCCAGGAGAGAGTGAAGAAAATTTGAGGAAAACTTTTGAGATTGCAAGGTAACAAAAAGTGGCTGTTCCAGTGCTGGAAATAACAGTCAGTCATTTGGACATTTGTTCAACCAATTTTGTGAAATTGCCTGACGAATGTCTCGTTGTTTTGAGCATTGAGGCCAGGCACCAAAATGACTTGTCTTTTAGTTGTGAAGATCCTGTTTGTAGACCATGTTTGCTTTGAAAAAAAAATTGCAAATCACACAGACCTGTGCTTTGTTTTGCTTTTATAGCCTCTCTAGATTTCCATAAAACATGAAGAAACATCTGTCTTGACATAAAGCAGTAGCAAGGAGTAGCAACTCTCCTTATATCTTCATGCCATTCTAAGGTGGTTTGCAACCATTCCCAAGAGGTTCAAATAACAAAGACCCAGGTAGCCATGTTGGATGACAGTAACAATAAACCTTATTAGAATTCTTTTGTTAATGGTCATCCAACATGGCGGCGATGATGTCAGTTGCAAACGATCCCTTGGAATCAGGTCTGGTAGTATGAGGTCCAAGTGTTGCTTTGATCACTTAACTTTAGTTAGTTATAGCACAGGGTTGGATGATGTGTAATGATTAGTACATGGGTCAACGATCATGGTTGCCATGCTTTTGAAATACTTGTCATCCTTTGCTTCAGGAATGCTTCACAGCATGGTCCATGTGTTTTATTCATTGATGAACTTGATGCTCTGTGTCCAAAGAGAGGAAGCAGTGGAAATGATGAAGAAAATAGAATTGTTGCCCAGCTTCTTACTCTTCTTGATGGTTTGGAATCTCGAGGTCAACTCGTCATCATTGGAGCAACAAACAGACCAAATGCTATTGACCCTGCACTGCGAAGACCAGGCAGACTGGATAGAGAGGTTAGTGTTTAATTGGTAGCATAAATCACTAAAATTGTGGGTTAAAGAAAATTGTATCATGAACATTGTCAAGTTACACCAAGGCATTCAGTTATATTTCAAACAAGAAAGGCCATGTCTTACCACTTACTAAACATAGTGTAGTGAGGTGAAATTATGATGTGCAGCAAAGGATTTTTTGTCAAATTTCAATTTCTGAGACAATTTAACTTTTTTCCAATCAGTATTATGCACATGAATTCTGCCTGGGTTTTTGTCTATCCATTGCTATATTCATTTGTACATAATATCTAATATCTTGAATGGTTTATATGTGTTTTCAGGTTGTGATTGGAGTGCCAAATGCTATGCAGAGATTGTCTATCCTAAAAGCGCACATGCAATCCCTGAAATTGTCAGATGACGTTGATCTAGCACATGTCGCTGAACTGACATTAGGTTATGTTGGTGCTGATATAGCCTCTTTATGCAGGGAAGCAGCATTTGTGGCCTTGAAAAGAATGATAAATCACAGCAACAATGGGAACCGCGACAGTTTAAGTGTGCAAGAAACTTTGAAAGATAATGAAGGTAATGTAATTGAATTCTGGATTGAGAAGTGTGGATTCAAGTCTTAGCTGAGGTCATAGAGTTGTGTACTTTAGCAAAACACTTTACTCTCACATTACATCTCTTCAGCTATCTGAGCTGGGGTTAGTTGGTGGGGGGTGGGGGAGTAAAATGTGATCTTGATTTGCTGAACAGTGATTTCCATAGCATTACTGGGCAGGAAATAATTTGGTAACAGGTCCGGCTATAAGTGTAGGAATTAACATATTGTGTTATTTAAAATGCAGTGGTCAATGGACGGGTAAACTTAGTCTTGCAAATTTAAATTTGTTCCTCATAGATAACGTTGGTGAAATAACCATGGCAGATTTCCAGCTAGCACTGTGCCACATTGTGCCATCTATGTACCGAGGTTTGGAAGGAATGGTTGAATGGAATCCTGTGAGCTGGGAAGATATCGCGGGACTACAAGATGTGAAACAAGCTCTGAAGCAGGTGGGGAAGGATACGTCACAGGGCTGTGCCTTTTGCACACTTTCCAAATAGCCCACAACAAGAATTTCTCAATTTCATTACATGGTCATGTAAAAAAAAGAAAATTGAATAGCATAGAGATATCGCCTTGACGTATACAAAATGATCCAATTTATACCACGAAGTGTGCGAGCTCCAAACGTAATGGTTAAAGATAACTTGTAACATTTCTTGACAGTGTGCAATAAGCTAGTCTGTGTACATCCGCTCCCTCCCCTGAAAAAAAATCGGGATGGGAGACCCGAAATTTTTGAGGGGAGGTGTTGGATGTCCATAGGCTAACAATAAGCGCAAAGTGGGTTACACAAACGCAGCGCGAGGGACACGAGTGGAACGTGGGAGACACGAGTGCAACGCGGAAACACGAATACAAAGCGAGAATACGCGCATAATGTGAGAGGCTTGAGCTGGAATGCAGAGCGCAAAACAAGTGGTTCAAGTGTAAAGCATGAAATACGAGAGCCAAGTGGGGTACGAGAGCAAAACTCGACGAACGTGAGCGAAAAGTGTACATTACTTGTTTTCACTAACTTCCTTTTGATAATCCTTACAAACTGTTTTATGTACAGGCAATTGAATGGCCTCTCAAACATCCAGAATCGTTTGCGCGTCTTGGCCTTAAACGCCCCAGGGGCGTTCTCCTGTATGGCCCTCCGGGATGCTGTAAAACGACCCTAGTGCGTGCGGCAGCCACCTCCTGTAAGTGCACCTTTTTGGCCCTCAGTTGTGCACAGTTGTACTCGCCATATGTTGGAGACGCGGAGCGCAGAATAAGAGAGGTGAGATGGATGTATTCTACAAGCTGACTCTGTATTCATGTGAATCGTTAACGTAACTATAGTCCCTGTGAAGACCAGCCTGATTATTTGATTATTTTCTTTAAATGATGGAGAAAACGCAGGTTTAGTGTGCGTGCAGGAAGGTACTTAGACTTGCCACAAGTCTACCTTTTCAAATCCTTGACTTACCGATCCCCTCGAGCGAGGCGAGAGGGTAATCTTCGCGCGACGAAGTCAGGAGGGCGAGCGCGAGCGACGTAGGTCCTACAAGTCGACTTTTTCTTAATCCTTGACTTACTGATCTCCCTCGAGCGAAGCGAGAGGGTAATCTTCGCGCGACGAAGTCAGGAGGGCGAGCGCTAGCGACGTAGGTCGCGAAAGGTCGACTTGTTTCACTTGCAGGAATGTGAATCAGAGCGTAAATTTTTGGCGTGAAAAACATGATTGACATTTCTCACTTTTAATGTGCTCCGCGCGCAATCGTCGCGAAAGCAGAAAATGATTTCCATCAAAACGTTTACGAGTATTGTTCCCTAACTCAAATGGATTTATTTGTGTACAGTGCAGTATGTAGTCAGCAATATTGACAAACGGCAAAAGCTGTTCCATTGAGTAACACCTCCTGAAAAGTCAAAACCGTGTTTAAA